CTTGATATCTATTGGACAACAAAGGACTTATCAGGATGTGTATACCACAAACTTAGCAAATCTCAGTCTATGCTAGTTGCTGAGTGGAACAAACACGTCATAAGCCCACTCAGTTTCAAAGAAGTATTGTAGGAATGTTATGCAACATTCATATTTAAATATAAACCAAGCAAAGCTTAATTTTAGTTTATATATTTTTTTAAAAAAAGAATGTTTCCATAAAGAATCTGCTAATATATATTATAAGATTTGGTATCATGTTCCAATGCCACTGTCTCAAATCTATATATTCCCAAATGGGTTAAGCAATATTCCTATTCAGATTTGTCCAAGACTAGCAGACAACACACTCAATATTCCAGTGCAATTCTTCATGGATTTTTTGTAATATAAAACATAAATGTCATTTGAACTTAATTTGTTGTCCTAATGCATCATCATAACTATTCCGATGGTAGCGGCTCTCAATTTAAGGTAATACCCCCGTCAATTCAATATTTGTGATTCATAAGAGCAGTAAATTAAATACAAATAACATTGCTAGTATAAAAACATTTTTCTCCTTACATATTCCAACCCAACCACAGGGTTATTTTGTTACATTTTTGTTTTTTTTCAGCAAGCATAGAAAGATTGAAATCCTCCCACAGAGAAGCATAATCTCTCAGCTTCAATATAATATGATCAGTATGATAAAAGTGGAGGTGAGAAAGTAGTTCCATGGTAAGGAGTCACTCCTTCTTCCCCTGTACAAAATAAAGAGGCACTACATTATTGTGAACGTTGCATCGCCCCTTGAATCAAAGACTTATGTTTTTCATTTTTAAATGAATTGAGATCCTCTCAATTACTTTTTCATTCAATGGTAGATCACTCATCATATACTCGCGTGTAATCCATTATTTATATGTGAGTCTCTCATTCTTACACAGTTGATAATTTATTATTGAGTAAATTGAAAAGATCTAGATCCGACTGACATGAAATGTCATGTGATATACCATTACGAGACTATAAATTTAAGTTTGGGTGATCTATGATTGGTTGTGCATATCTAAATTATATAGTCATCACTAATGTTAAAGAAACTTAAGTAGGATAATTTTCTAATATAACCATGTAAATAAACAAAAGAGGTAGGATGAGAGAGAATGTTTGGTAAGAGAACATTGTTGATATACTCATGTGGATTAAGGTTTGATCCCACTCATATTGGTGGCTTACATGTAGGCTGCAATTTCGTTGGTGACTTTATAGTTTCAAAAGGCTTTGCTTTTGATATACAAATATCACGTTTGGGTATGATTTGATTTGCCACAATACTTTTAACTTTTACTAATAGAATCACACAGAAAAATATTTTATTTTAGGATAAATTACACTCACACACTCACACTCCTGACATTTGATTTTATTATACGGACACCTTCTCACGTTTCAAAAATTACACTAAGACCCCTAACATTTGACCACGTGCGATAGTAATACCCCTTTTGTCTGACAGATGTTAACAATTTCATTAAAAAGAAATTTTTAACCCTCATATATCCTTGAGACTTACCAATGCCCATAACCAACCTATCTAACTCACCCCTTTATTGGAATAAGTCAAAATAAATAAATTAAAAAAAAATCCAAACAATTAATAAACCCCACATCCCTAAACCCTAGTCATCTTCTTCCTACATTCCCTTCACTACCCTCTCACAAAATTCAACCCAACCCTAGCCGTCTGTATACCCATCGCTGCCTCCACACCACAGAAACCACCACCACTTCCTGGTCCTCATCCTCGTCCTCTTCTTCGTCCTCGTCCTCATCCTCCTCTCTTTCTCTCTCTCACGCACACACACACACACACACATACTTCCAATCCTCAACTATGGCTTCGAATCAATTCCCAGCAAATGCCTTCCCAAACTGAAAAGAAGCCCCAAAAACAATGATCCTTGCAATATACACAGAAAAACATGGTGGTGAGCTTGGTTTCACGATTCAGAGAGAATTTACCTGATTTTGGAGTATGCCCATGGAGAATTTACTTGATTTTGGAGTATGCCTATGGTGGTGAGCTCTACAAAGAGCTCCGAAAAATCGGCCATCTCACAGAAAAATAAGTCGCCACTGGATAGGGTGGCTACTAGTGGGTGCTGCAGTGGTAGAGGAAGGCTAGCAATTTTTCCTAATTCTTTTGCAATTTCGGGCTGTTATATATATACAACAAAACAAAGAAAAGCCCACCCAAATACTTCTTGCCATGTTTTGTCTCTCTCCTAAGCCCTTATCCTCTTACTCCTTCCTTCGCAAAATCGTAAACCCAGGCCCCAAAAACCCCAAAGCACCCTTCATTTTCCACCATAATCCCTCACACATCACTTCCACACCGAAACCCAGGTGCCAATCCGAAATCCAGACTGAAATGGGTCTTGAATTTGACATCGGAGATACCTTATTCCGCCATGAAAGCGCCATCAGCCGCTACCTCGGCGTGCTCGCCACAACCTTATACAAGAAATCCCACAAACAGTGGAAATGATGAAGAGAGAGGAGACCGATGATTTCGAGCTAGATCCTCGCCTTGAGAGAGAGAGAGAGAGTACTGTGTAGATGACGGTGAAGATTAGGGATTGAGTTTAGGGTTTGGGTTAGGGATTGAGTTTAGGGTTTAGGGTTTAGGTTGTGTTTGTGTTAAATAAAGGGGTAAAATAGTTTTTTTTATTAAGATGGTTAACTCCGTTTAACTATTGGGGTCTCAATGTAATTTTAAAAAGTGAGGGGTGTTCGTATAATAAAATCAAATGTTAGGGGACTTGAATATAATTTATCATTTATTGTAGCACCCAATCGTTTCAAGTAAACTAAATTCAAATGTAGGAACAAAATGAAATTGATTTTTGAAAGGGAAACGTTTTTTTATACCTAATTTAGTGATCTTATCTGATGAGATGATGAATCATAGTCTTGAATTAATAGTGAATTCTAATTAATAGTGAAGTCAATAGTCAATTTAATAACAGAAAATAATAAGATCAACAAATAATATCATTAAATAAAGTTCTTGTAACATTATCTTTTTTGAAGAGTCTTTTAACACAGATAATGAGAGGTTAAAAGTTTCAACAAATTAAATCAATGTTTTATGTACAAGAACATTGCTCAAAGTTAGTTATTAAATAAAAAGAGTAATATTACACAGATTTAAAATTTTGATTTAAAAATTAGACTTAATGATGTTATTGTTATATTTATTATTAATTTAATTATATGTCATAATATTTATTTAAACTCACTATTTATTTAAAGATAATGATTAAATTATTAAGTCAAATTTTTTAAATCTATTTAACATTTTTAAAAAAAATATATATTGCTCAAAGTGAAAACATGTGATGATGGAAACCAGTTGTCTGCATGTCCGAAAAGGTTGACTTCTTAAGTCTGTCAGCCACTATTATACATTGATTTTTGAAATTCTTGGACTTTACCTGGACCACTACCTTGACAATGACTAAAGCAACCCACCTCTCTCTCTCTCTCTCTCTCTCTCTCTCTCATACACACACAGATTTACCAGATTGATTAGTCTTGGCGTTGTGACTGTTGTCACATGAGCATGAAGAGTACAATCAGATGATGGTGGGTTGGGTCCATTTCATAATGTATTGTAGTTTGGGGCATCACTTAAAGCATTGCGCTTCTCTGCATGTTTTTATTTATACCAGGCATCTGTCCCCTCCAGTACCTCCAACTTCCAACGCCCTACTCTCTCTCTCTCTCTCTCTCTCTCTCTCTCTCTCTCTCTCTCTCACACACACACACAAACACACGCGCGCACACACACACAGAAGCTGAGATGAAGCAAAACTCCCATTCTTGTGCTGTTCTCTTTGTTTTGCTTATTATCTCCTCACACGCATCTGCCCGTATCCTTGAAACAAATCATGGTAACCAAACCTCCTCTTCTTCTTCGTCTTCTTCGTCTTATGTTTTACTTTTCTGAACTAACTGTAGTGTTGAATGTTCTGCAGGAAAAGAGGAGGCAAAGCTCAATAATAAAACCACCGGAGATTCGCTTGTACATATAGAAGGCAATAACTATTTAAATGTAATCTTCTATTTCTACTATAGCTTCTTGTAAATTTTGAGTTTCTTTTGTTCTAACTCTTCTTCTGGTTTAATGATGCTATTAGACTCTCATGGGGATAGAAGATTGTGAAAGTGGAGATGAAGAGTGCTTGAAGAGAAGGGTTCTTGCAGAGGCTCACTTGGACTACATTTACACTCAGCACCATAAGCCTTGAAGACTTTAGTTTTCCTCTTCAAAGGTTATTACTTACAATAATGGAGATGTCTATATTTCCCCTTTTTATTACTCTTTTTGGGCTGTGTTTTTCTAGCTTATAAAATTGTAACTGTTACATTATGCAATGGTCTTTGTGTTGATGAACAATCATAAAAATCTCTGAAGATGTATCCCTTAGAAGCATCATATCTATTTGACATCTAAAATTGTGCATATTACCCTTTTATAATTATGCATTAAAGTGAATGGTTATTTTTATCAACTAAGTTAATAGAGAGTATACTCTACACATCCAAAACTTGTTGTAGACTTTATTTCTATTATTTTTCTCCAAAAGAATATTGTCAAAGTATATCAAATACCTTTTATAATATATAGTATAATAATACCCAAATATATAGGATATCGATCATAGATAAAAAAAACATGTAAGAAAAACATAAGTGATTTTTGATCTCGGAACAAAAACTTCAATTGAGGGAAAAAGAGACTCGACATGTTTGATTGAAATTTGTTGATTTGTTGTCATGTTCCATTAATTTTATGGTCAAGAGTAAATCAGATGAAAATTTTAATTTTAAAACGTGAGTATTATAGTAATTTTTTAATTCCATTAACGGCGTTAATTACTTCATTTTGGTACATAACTATAACGAGAGAAAATATATAATTTTAAACATCAAGGTAAGATATTTCTAACCAAAACCACAAGAGATTAAAAACAATTGACCCTATATTTATATGTATACAGAACAATGGTTTCTGCAATTCGACCCATAGAGCATATTTAGTTCAAGTACAAATAAAGGAAGAGATTGAATAATTAGTTCTCATTCAATTCATAAAATAGTGTTATTACATTTTTAATACTTAGCTTGTTAAAAACAATTCCATCTATTACATAGTATTCATTACTACCTAATATTTGATATTAAATGGCAATTAGGTTGGGATTAATTAAAATTAATATCAGGTCGTTATAACCTCATCCAATTTAGTTTTATATTATTATCAAATAAAATTAATTCAATCCACCTCTTACTAAAATTAATATTTTAATATTCAAGTTGCAGCATCTAAATAAAAATGCATCCCTACGCCAAGGCCGACCCTCTAAATAAAAATTCTCTTCGCCGGTTAGCAAAAAATAACAAAGAAGAAGAAGAGAAGCAGCTGCCTTGGGGAACAGGGTCAAAGGGAATATTCAGTTTGCATGTACATAGATTAGTGGTTTAGCAACACCGTGTGTGAGAGAGAGATAGAGAGGAGGGCTGATAGTCGAAGGAGCTCAAGCCAAATCTAAAATCTTTATTTTTTTAATCGAATTTAAAAAATTGTTCAATTTTGGTTCGTTTAAAAAACGAGTTGAGCCTGAACAAATCCAAAACAGTTGAACCAGAATCAAACTCGAGTATTTACACATAAACGAGTTGAGTCTCTCTATTTCGAGTCGAATCTATTGGGCTCGTTTTTCAAACGACTTTGAACAAGCCGAATTCGAATAGTTTAATTTGATTAACTGTCCAAATAATGAGAGAGAGAGAGAGAGAGAGAGAGAGAGAGTACAACCATTATTGAAGTCAGGAGAACTACAAGCTCAATGGAAGATGCATTCTTTACCAGAAGTAGTTCCAAAGATTTATGAGCAAAGCCATGCAGGTACTTCTGGTTCTTGGTAGGTGAATATGAGAACAGTAATTAAAGCAATTTATTCAGACAGTTGGGAAGTGATGATCTCTGAGTTTGGTGACGGTTTCCACAACATTAATTTTCCACCTTCTGTAAGTTTGCAATTTTCATCAGATCACAAAAAAAAAAAGGCAGTTTCATGATCTCAGCTTTCAATCCACAGCTCTCCCTCTCTCTCTCTCTCTCTCTCTCTCTCTCTCTCTCTCTCTCTCTTCATAGTCTCAGCTTTCTCTTTTATTCTCTCTCAATTTTGTACGATTTTACCGGACCATGTGGCCCTACTTGTGGTGTGCACGGGTGTCAACCAGATTAAACATTTATATGTCGGGTTAAATGGGTGATAGGTGAAAAACCAATAACCCATATATGACACGTTTAATAAACGAGTAAAAAATATCTACCGTTCACGACTCGTTTAATAAACAAGTTACATGACACGTTTTGTTTAACACGTTTAATTCAAAATTATTTTGTTTGTCCCAAGAAGGACTTGAAATTATTTGTACGGTGTTAATTTTGTACTCCTGATTTTTTTGTTAATGAATAAACAAAGCTTTAGGTTGCTTATCAATTTAAAACAAAAAGAAAAATGAAAAAAAAAAAAAACAGAATAGAAGAAACCTTGAGTTAGAGTTTTGAGTGTCTAACTTTTCGTCTCCATCTATCGAGCTGAGTGAGTGAGTGAGAGAGAGAGAGAGATGGTATTTGATGGTGCAAATCAATGGCGAAACAATTTTGTGGTAAGAAGTCAATGGGATAAGCAATATTCTGATTATTAACGTCTGAGCCACTTGGCTTCAGGGGATGGTGCTTAATGTTCTCTGAGAATTGAAGGATTAACACAGAGGAAATATAGTGGTTCACTAACTAGGGAGCTCGATTAATCCACTCTTCAATGGAGGCTATGACTCATTTTTCTTTATTGATTATACCAAAGGTTTACAGAATAGGTTTTTGGTCATTCGGTCCCCCCTTGTGATGGGGGCGTTACATGGTATTTATAGGGGTGACCCTTAATCTATGAGATCTGATCCGTGATCCTCGACATCTATCCGAGGAATTCTCCTTGATCTTAGGAGAGTATCTTGGTTGGTTGAGGATTTTGTGCCTTGAGTGTTACTTCAAACCACCTGTAGAGTTCTTTGTAGTATCCAATTGCTTCCTCATTGCTTCAACTTATTATCTCGCTTGAGGGGAGCTCTAGCTCTGACTTTCTGAGCTCAGCATACCTGACCTCCATGTTTGACCTCCGTTCTCGAGCTCCTGCTCAGGAATCATTCTGAGTATCATCAGTTGCCCCCCAGCTCTTGGCCGAACTAGCTTGGGCAAAGGCTGAACTTAGGATGTAACAGTAATGGCTTCCCAATTAGCGACTTCAGATGTGCTCTACCTGTGCATTTTTACTTTAGTCTTCCCTTGTCCCCTTTGTTTTAAGGAGTGCTGAGCTCTTCCTGAAGCAAGAATGCTTTGGGAGTTTCATACTTGAGCTTATTGGATGAGAGTAAGTGGTAAATCTCATCACCAGCTGCTCCCTGCGTTTCATGCTGGCTATGGCGATTCTATAGGTTTATGCAGCCGAGCTTAGGTTATGGTGAACTGAGAGGCATAGAGCTTAAAGCGATCTTATACTTGAAGGCTTGGGGGTGTCTGACACAGCTTTATCTTTAGTGGGAATAAGGTTGTCGAGTTCAATTCTGGACTTGGGAATTGTCTGGGTTTTTCAGGATGTTCGACTTGTAGACCTCATGGTTCTGCAACTTCTTTTGAAAGAGTTTTTCTTCTTAAACTCCCCACCGTAGGTGGCCGAGCTCGTTCTGATGACCTTAGGAGTTCATCGAGAGCAACTGAGCTCATTGTTATGAACTTAAGGGTTCATCATGAGCTTCTGAGCTCATTCATATGAACTTAGGAGTTTATTGTGAGCTACTGAGCTCGTTCTCATGAATTTAGGAGTTCATCGTGAGCTATTAAGCTCGTTTTCATGAATTTAGGAGTTCATCGTGAGCTCTAAGGCTTTATTACGGACTAATGAGTTCGTCGTGAGCTCTAGGGTTCTTATTATGAACTAATGAGTTCGTCGTGAGCTCCAGGGTTCTTTTTAGGAACTTATGAGTTTGTCGTGAGCTCCAGGGTTTTTTTTATGAACTAACGAGTTCGTTGTGAGCTACAGGGTTCTTTTTATGAACTAACGAGTTCATTGTGAGCTCTAAGGCTCTTATTACAGACTAATGAGTTCGTCGTGAACTTCAGGGCTCTTATTACAGACTAATGAGTTCGTCGTGAGCTCCAAGGCTTTTATTACGAATTAACGAGTTCATCGTGAGCTCTAGGGCTCTTTTTACGAACTAATGAGTTTATCGTGAGCTCTAAGGCATTTATTACAGACAAATGAGTTCGTCGTGAGCTCTAGGGCTCTTATTACGAACTAATAAGTTCGTCGTGAGCTCCTGGCTCTTATTACGAACTAAGGAGTTCGTCGTGAGCTCCTGGCTCTTATTACGAACTAAGGAGTTCGTCGTGAGCTCTAAGGCTCTTATTACGGACTAATGAGTTCGTCGTGAGCTCTAGGGCTCTTTTTATGAACTAACGAGTTCGTCATGAGTTTTATGGCTCTTTTTAAACTAACGAGTTCATCATGAGTTCTAAGGCACTTATTACGGACTAATGAGTTCGTCGTGAGCTCTAGGGCTTTTCGTAAGAGTGAATGAACCACAGACTTGTTGCTTTATTAATAATCATATTGTAGGACAAACTTATTGAAAAAATTTCTTAAGATGTTCTGCATTCCAGGAGTGGAGTAAAATTTTCATCGGGTCTGTTTTTATCCGGGGTGGCCACCTTAAGAATTTTTCGTTTTGTACTTCATACAAGATTTGCGATATTGTTGCGGTGAGTGGAGGGACCTGCCGAGATGCTTACCTCGGCTGCAACTCTGGATAAGGTGGTCCCAAGCGATCTCTGACGTCTCCCTTTTTATTGGGGGATCGATCTTTGTCTCTCCTTGGGGACCTATCTTGTCCTATTTCTCTTTTTTCCCTTTGTCTTTTTGCATGGATGAGTTCCCCATTTTTGAGAGGAGAGCTTTTTCAGCGTTTATCTACTTTTCTGCCTTGGTCAGTACTTCAGCCATATTGGCATGTGTATTTTTCGAAATAGAAAACATCAGGTCTTTAGATTGTACGCCTAAACCAACTATGAATGCAGTAATGACAAATTTCTCGTCTGGGACATTCACTTTTAGTGATTCAGAGTTGAACCTCTAAACATAGGATCTGAGGTTCTCTTGGGGTCCCTGTTTCACATTTAGCAAGTGGTAACTTGGCTTTCTGTACGTTTGAGCTCCTATGAAGTGAGATATAAAGGATATAGATAGCTCCTTAAAAGAGGAAATTGAGGTAGGGGGAGCCTATTGAACCACGCCAGGGCTGAGCCTTTCAGCCTGATGGCAAAGGCTCTGCAGCGCACTGGATCTTGGTATCCGTGCAACTCCATCTGGTTCTTGTAAGTGTTAAAGTGATATACG